CGTATCTATGTGATTAACGTTAAAAAAGTAGAGCCGTAACAATGTCCGTGACGCCGCAGTATACAGTTTGTGTCCCATTAGAGACCCCGCGTGCTGTCAGGCTGTCACCGGGTGTTGTTTTTCCTCTGAGAAAGTATGTGTGGGTATACTTTTTTTTCCCCCTATGTGCTATGTGTTCCAGACTCGGGGTAAACATACAAAAGATACACGTACATATTTACTCCTCCTTCATCGCGGGGATATACATATTTACGTACAGAATGTACGGCTTCGATTATTGGTTCGTCAACTGCAAGTGAAATCAAACAAAAACACACGTTTCGCGGTGCATGGCTACCAGAGTTGCCGATGCACAGATTGAAAACACTTTTTCCTTAGTTTCTTTTTCTGTACTTATACCATTCATATGATTCATAAGTAATTTCCGTTTGTTTTTTCTTGTCTCACATTAATCCACGACTACGTATTGCGGTCGGACACGAATATAATGTATATTTTTAATTTTTAAATTAACCGGTTACTATTGGAAATTTTATGAGATAGTCGAGAAGATTATTTCTTGCGATCGGTCGAATTAACTTCACGTTTTAATTCTTGCGCCTGGATTAAACGTAAGCAATGTCACGTGTTTCACTGGGCAGCCAAGCGTAATGAACCATAACCTTATTGTTTTCAGCGCGTGTCGCAATCATTTCTCTATGTGATTTGAAACGCTTTTTAATTAAGGCGCAGAACAATGAATGGACTAAGCTATTCACCCATGTTTCATTATTTCCAGTAATGATTGATGATTTGTGAGACAAGAGGACAGGATCATTTATTTGAATTTTTTTTCATGCACGTGCCCATTTATTCCAAGAGATATCAATATGTAAATATTTTTTTATCCGTACAAATTTATCTAATAACCGTAAACATCACAAGTGAACACAAACCTTTGAACGGAACTTCTGTACGATCGATACAAGGTGTATTTATGATGCAATCCGTACCAATTACATAGAATCCGTTGAATGCCGCGTATAAAATGTGTACAAAAAAGCTGATGCAAGAATCGTAACTAGTTCATGTAATCGATTCAAAGAACATTAAGAATAATAGCAAACATTTAAAGAAAAAAAAAAAAAAAAAAAAAAAAAAAAAAATTAAGAAGAAAAAAATTCGAGAAAAAAACGGCGCGCAGAGTTGCGTAGGTCACGTACGTACAACGAACCGGGCGCGTGAGTGATAAATGATAGCGAGGTTTTTGATCGCGAGAGAGCCCCACCACCACCCGGGAGTCACCGGGTTTAATCAAGTGTGCGCGCGAAGAAAATGTACGTGTGTGCAGCTCTCTCGTGGCTCGCTGATAAAACGCGCTACGAACGGAAGTCTACCTGGCGACACGACGGATGACTCGGGGAGAAACATGAATGGGAATCTCCGAGTCTGTCTCGTCACGATTTTTAAACGCCGCCACGATGACAAACGAACACGATCCATTTAAAGATTCGATCGTTCCATGGATTTTTCCTGGAGTTACGAGGAATACATTCCACCAATCCGTGGGTCCAACTGGACCGGAATTCGCGCCATTTTGACCACGCTCCGTCCCCCCTCCCCACTGTACACAATCGTGAAGAAAATACAATATTCAGTTCAAATTGTAGTTATTCAACCACTATTCCGAGATTATTTGAAAACAATATTTATTCATATTTTCTGCAATGTTTGCTCTAAATTCGAATCCTTATTTTGCTTGTAGAGCCGAGGGGTTCAATAACACGTTTGCTACACCTGTGTGTTTGGTAATAATCCTCGCAGCTGTACTGTATTTCTGATATTCCATTCAATATATCGCGCTAGGAAATATAAAAAAAATAAAGTAATAGAACCGTCTTACTGGTTCTCTGTATGTTACATAATAATAATTATATTTTTTTCATGTAAAAGATACAGAATCGTTAATTGTGACAAATATCTGATGTATGGAAGCAAACATACTGATGGGCAGAAAGGGGTATGGGTGATTATCCGAAAATCCCAAATACGCGGTTATTTATATTTACACGATGTATTTATACGCGCGCGCCGCGTGTAAACCCCTTCGCCTCGTCCTAGTAGCGAGCAACTCGGTAGGGATAAGTTTAAAGATTGCAAGAGCCATTGCCCTGTTGGCGTCGCGCAACGAGGGAGGCGGGAGGGGGGGAGAGAGAGAGAGCCTCCGCTGGAAAACACACACATAGAGAAAAAAAAATTCGGTAAAAAAAATGGAGAAAAACAAAGCCCCCCTGGAGTGTTCTGAAACGTCGCGTTGGCCAGCCTGGGATGGTTCTATCGCGCACAGCCCAGCTGACAGCCCAATCAGCTGTAAACGTACACAAAAGCGTCGGTCCAACAGGTCCGTTGAGAGTTCGCGCAAACGAAACTATGCGTTGCATCGTCTAACGAAAGCTCGCACACAAACCACCACCATCTTCTTCCAGTTGAAACAAAATACATATACCGATACAATATATGAAAGAAATGCACTGAATTGTGACACATTACACGCCGATAACAATTATATATTAATCAGTTTTAATTACCCGTAGTTTCTCTTTTCTGGAAATTCAATATAAAGATCCATGGTCGATGATAACGACACACACACACACGAGATGATACGTATGTATTCTCCTTGGAAATTTACATCTCACTCGGAATCACTTAATTGACGCGACATTAATTAATGGTACTACCTGGAAGTATACTGCGAACGCGCGATACACAAGCTGCGTGTTCGTCGGATGTGAATTAATTCGTGGTACGGAAATCCCGTGTAGTCGCGTTCATTCACCGTGCTCGTTAAACGTCTGAGAGAGGCGTTCCGTCGTCGCCACACGCTGCTGCACCAATCGAATGAGCGTTCCCGTGCGCCCATAGCAACCGAAGGGTTCAACTGTGAAAGCACCACAGAATATGTATCCTCACGAAAAACTGATAATATTTGTACGCGACGCACGTGTATATAGATACATTCGGTTAGCTGGCCGTTTAGGAAACCAAGCAACGAACTTTCCTTGTCTCTCCGGCAGGAGGGGGAGGGGCGAGACGCGGGTCTAGGCAACAAGAGAAGAGAGTCGCGGCGATGCTACGCCACTGCAACTTAAATAAACACACACACCACAAACTGGGAGAGGAGGACAAGCGCCGAGCCGCCAGTAGCTTCGAGTTTAGTTAATTCGGGTCATCGTCCTTCGTCACTGGTGGTGCATATTTAATTTTCCAAGCGCGTCCTGACGACAACACACGACACAACGGATGTCGCTTTCAAAGCGAATTGTGTGTACTTTGTAGGGAAGCGGGGGGCATACGCGCGCCCCGTGCGCATCCACACGCGCTTGTATTCTCGGTCTATTAAATTCGAAAGGCGCTCTCGTTGGCTCGGACTTGAGAAACCGTAGTCGAATTACGATCGATAGGTTGGAAGGAAAATAGATAGAGACCGACATCAGAGTCGCGAGTTCCCCCGTCGACAACGAACGATTTTAGCGAGTCGCGTTGCTGGCTTCGCCAAATATTTACGATAGAAAAATCGATCGAGGTTTGACCGTCAGAAACGCAGACGAGACGCGTTACGTCAATTGCTCTCTCTCTTTCTCTCTCTCTACCACTGTCTTACCCGCGGCGGCCATATACACAACGCTGGGGTATGTCATGTATCGTATGTAGGGGCTCTTTTTTTTTTTCCAGAGCGATCGAAGCCTTTCGCATGGTGTATAAGAAGAGACGTATCGCGAAGGTATACACACCACACATACCAGAAGATAAAGCTCCGAAACGTTTTTACGACGCGCAGTTGAATCAGCTGCGAGTGTGTACAAAACACCAAGAGCGAGAGCGCGCATTATCTGGTGACATTGTCGCGACGCGCGGTTAGGTATCAGTGAAAATTTATCGTTGTATACACGCACACGCGTACTATGATGCCGTTGACATTTAACATACTGTGGCTTTAAAAACAATATTAAGAATTCATTGGGAGAAATAAACGCGGAAAACTGGTATGGCAAGAATTATGTCGACAACGTCAAAAACAATTGCCGTGAAACGCAATTATACCCGTTTCAACTGGTCCGTGAACGTCGCTACACGGGATTTATCAATTAACGATGGAATAAAAAAAAAATCCTGCCCCTACGTGTATAGACACGTGCGGACGTGACGACAGAACTGTTCGATATGGTCGGTAGATTTTCCACTGTTACCAAGTGGTGAAAAGTCCCCTAATCATAGAACACCAGAATTGCACTGCGAACCCGCGAAGAAAGGAGAACAGCGAGAAAATTGAGACGGACGTGCGGTAACAGGAAAAATTCGCGTAGAACGCCACAAAGCGACGGCCCTGATCTTCTCGTGTGGAAGGCAGCTGACAGGCTCTCCCGTCAGCTGAGAGCGTACACAAAGTCCGATGCCCGTGTATACGCACCGTACTTTTAACATCAGTCCGTTTTCAAGGAGGAGTAATTATCGTTGCACGGAACACATAGATCACGATTCATTCGACGAATACGCTGTTTTAACACCCGAAACTATTGCACATTGGATATTCGGACAAGAAAAAAAAACAATAGTATTGCGTCGTTCGAGGTGCACACCGAATAGTAACATCGGGAATATATTTTCTTTCGTTGCCCGTTTCCGTGTCACAGAGTCGTCGATATCAGAGACTGACCGAGGCCAACGTACACAAGATTAACGGGAGGTTTTCACGAATTGCGACGCGGAGAGGGGGGGGGGATTTAGAGAGTGAACAACACGGGCATCTTTGGTAACAATATTCCCTGTGGTGGCACGGAACCGATGCACTTCCGATTGTTCGTGGGATGTCGCGGAACGAAATGCCAGGCCATCGCAAAATGGCAGTTGACTGGAAGAACCAGTTCGTGCACGTATTGCACGGGATGTTGTCAAAGGAAGACAAAGGACGCGCGTGCATGTAAGAAGAGGGTGCATCGGAATCGGAAGGGTTTACGCACCTCCATATGCATCCGTGGCCGCGGCAACGAACGACGACGCGTGTCCTCGGCCTCTTCGATGCCTCGAGCCTTTGATCACGGATCACGGTTCCTTCGTCTCCGCGAAGTGTCGTAAACAACGACCACGACGACTCGTTTTGATCATCACTAACGCGAAACAGCCGCGTCCAGCGAGCACCGTACTGCTGATCGCCTCGGCGTCGTTCGATTTATTTCGGTTCGTCCGCAGGCGGGATGGTATACGATGACCTGCGCGCATGCGCTGTCCGCGCTACCACTTTTTTCCGGACATCATCGACAGAGGTCGCTTGTGACAACGTTATCTTCGTTTCTTTGCTACGTTCCTGACCGTGACGCGCGGGAAACTTCGGCCGACAGATTTCTGTAAACACCGTACCCTTTGTCGTCTAAACAAAGGAAGTCTACGGCTTGGACAGGTGCTTTTTCTTATGAAATCGAGCGTAAAATGTAGGACACGATGGATGGAGATTAAAGCCTCTAATATTAATTGGTAACGTTTTATAGTTGCAATAAAAAATAGGCTTGAAGATTGAACGATTCGAGGTATCCGCTCAACTCCGCTAGAAAGTGAAAGTATTCCCAATTTTATTATCAGTCGAGGCTTGTGGATCCTGGACTGCCCATCCGAAAAACTGGAGGTTCGGTATTGGTGTAATATGTTTTGTCTTGTTCCTACATTTGCCTTGGATTTCATAAAAAGTACTCGCCTTGACAGTAGGTTGCCCCTACAAGTATTTAAAAAAAAAATAGAAAACTGATTTGTAATGTTATACCTCTAATTAAATTCAGTCCACAGTCTAGATCCATTATAGTTCCGCGCTTCTGTGGTTTCGAAAATAGGAATGCTGATAACTCGTGAAGTCTATTCTATGGCATTTATATACGGGCAACATATGACTGACATGCTAATTCATCTCGGCGGAAGGTCAAATATTTTGGTCGCAAAAATGAGACATGAAGGCACGTGTTGAAGATCGTCTCACAATATTTAATCGTTGAACGTTTCTTTGAACGGTTCCTTGTTTTCGTGTCTTTTCGACTCATGGTGTAAATTGGGAATGCATCATGGTGCATATGCATGTATTTCCTGTCTGCTCGGAAAAAATATGTATATGTGTTAAAACTATGTAGGAAGGCTACCTTTATTACTTCTTTCATTTCTTTGCGCAATTCTATTAGCTATTACACGTCTCTGACAAAACTATTACAAAAGTTCGTTATGCTGAGTGATTTTGTAAGAACATGTGAACGCCTTTCACACATATCGCCACGGTATCATAAAGTAAAAAAGTCACTGCCCAGAACAGAGGGAACTCTATGCAAGATAAGAAATCGAAATGCTACGCTCGTATAAAAGAAGAAAACAGAACGTATTAACAGTCCGAAATATACGCGTGATACAAAAAAAAGTGGACTACCTAGAAAATCCATTTGTGTAATTAAAAATTCAGCGTTATTAGACATTTTTTTCGTATATACTGCCTAAAACAAGGTTTCCAGCCGTGTTATTTTATATTTTTAATTTCACGAAATAAGATTAGAAGTAACATGTTTTCTAAATGTCCACTTTTTTTCGCACCAGAGTTTACATTCGAATCTACGAACTCGTAATATCCATTTGATGGAATAAAATTTTTGTAATGCATCTGCGCTCTTAATTTTCTAGAATTTGTTAAACAAATTGCACGAATTATATAACATAAATGTATGTTTAAGACGCCGTTTTCTATTGGGCAGACCTATAATTTTAAATGCTCCGTAAATGCGCTTCGTCTGCCACCCTCTCCCTCTTTCTTGATTCATTCTATATACTCATTTTTACTGATCACTCACACGGTCAAACGTTTCTCTCGATTTCCACCATACAAGCACAGCATGAAGGATAACAACAAAGCAGTAGTACATAAAAAAAACTTATTCTTTGTTTTATGTTTGTTTATTAATATTTTGTTTTCTTATAAATTGATGTCCTACTAATTAAAAGTAAATGAAAAAAAGATCACCAAACAATAATTAATATATTCAGTAAAATTCTTCATTTTCATTAAGGCAACTAATTTGTTTAGTTTCATTTTACATATCTAGAGTAAATGATATATAAAGTATATGTAAAACACTAATATATGGTTATTTTTATTTTCTTGTTACAAGCCTTACAGATTTAGAATATAATATGTATACTTTGTATATATACTCTTGTAATAAAATTGATTACTTCGTATTCGATTCTAGAGATAATAAATATATCTAATGTGTAATGTTAGTACAAGAGAAGTGCGTGCAGAGGGTGGCAGCAGGGTGCGCATTTGGGAGTGCTATTGTTCCAGGGACCGACCAGTCCCCACTTTCTATATCGTCTCACATAGTGACATTTAACTGTATTGCTTTAGTGTCCACAGAGCACGCTTGTTGTTGCTGTTGTTGTTGTTGTTGCTGCTGCTGCTGTTGTTGTACCTGCTGCTGTACCTGTTGTACCTGTTGCTGAACTTGCTGTTGCACTTGTTGCTGTATTGCCTGCAGTTGTATTGTTTTTGTATCAACTGTACACGTTTGCTGCTGCTGCTGCTGCTGAGGTTGCTGTTGCACTTGTTGTTGCACCTGTTGCTGCTGCACTTGCTGTTGTTGTACTTGTTGTTGCACTTGTTGTTGTTGCACTTGTTGCTGTTGCACCTGTTGCTGCTGCGCTTGCTGCTGTTGTTGTGCCTGTTGAGCAGCAGCTTGTGCAGCTTGCCTCTGTTGTTGGCGGAGTATGCTTGGTGGTGGATCCATGTGCTGACGTTGATGCAGTAACAAATGATTCTTCTGATAGAAGGCTTTACCACATTTATCACACACATGCGATCTTATGTGGCAGCTGCCGTCTGTATGGCGCCGTTGATGTTGAGATAAACCATGTTTCTGTGCGAAGCCCCGGCCGCAATCAGGACAAAGGTGTGGTTTTGGTTTTGGACCTGTTCCCACTGGTGGTGATGTTTGCGTCGCTCCGTGCATATGGCTGACTCCGGGGGTTCCAATGGGTCCATTCATCTGTAAGTCCATAAGTTGTAACACGCCTGTTCTACCATCTATTGTTAGACTGATGTGAGTAATACCTGGTGAGTGCTTGAGGTGTTTGGTGTAAGGAAGTGTCCAGGAGTTTGCTGGAAGGCGGCCGCTAATCCACAAAGATCAGTGACAAGGGTTCGATCACCAGAATGTAACCTTAAGTGCAAAGTAAGGGCTTCTCGATTCGAGAAGTCCAATCCACATTCCCTGAAATAGTAAACACAGCATAAATATATAAACAGGCCATCTGTATATATAGTAAGGTAATGAAGATCTATTATTTTATGGGCTTACCTGCACATAAGTGGTTTCTCATCAGTAGTCGTGTTATTGTTATGAATCTTGGAGTGGGCAACAAGGTCTGATTTCCTGGGGAATGCTTCTCCACAAACGGTACACGCAAACGGGGTTTCTCCCGTATGCAAACGCATATGTGCCAACAGTGTTCTCTTTTGTAGAAATTCTTTGCCACAAACAGTACACGAATGTGGAACTCTACCATGTAGACGACCATGATTCACTAATTCAAACTTTCTCTGGAAGGTTGCTCCGCAATCATGACAAACAAATGGATGTAAACTGCCATGGAAGCGCGAATGCATTGTTAGATGATCTTTTTGCGAAAACGATTCTCCACATTCTTCGCAAACAAATGGTCTCTCTCCTGAATGGAATTTACTATGAGTCACTAGGTGACGTTTTAGAGGAAATGATCTCCCACACTCTTGACAAATGAATGGCCGATCCCTTGTGTGTACTCTTGTGTGCGTTACAAGATGATGCTTTAATGTAAAAGACTTTTTACATTCACGGCATTGGTATGGTCGATCTGCACTGTGAAGGAGTAGGTGAGTATGAAGACAGTGTTTGTGTGCAAAACTTTTGCCACAATGTACACAAACATGAGGTCGTTCTCCAGTGTGTACCCTTGCGTGTGTAGTAAGGTGGTGTTTGAGGAGAAACGACTTCCCACATTCCGAACAAGAGTATGGCCTTTCTTTCGGAACACGGACCTGACTTCCCATATCTTGCTGCGTCTTCACCTTTGTTTCAATTTGTGTGGCATTGACGTGTGTTAAAACGTGTCCAAAATGAGCAGTGCTGTCCGTTTGACTTGTTACCACATTATTTGCATTGGCTTGATTCGAGGCAGCTGCTGCTCTCTTCATTAAAATTTCATTGCACTCTTCTGCTGTAAGTTGTAGTGGTCCAAGGGGTGTCATAAAATGCTTACTCATGGCATGCTTATCAGCTGTGGTAAAAACTAAAGTATTTGAAAACAATGAGGGTGTCGGTGTCGGATGCGCTGCATCACAGTTGCAACCACCCTTGTCACATGTTAATGAAAATACATCATGCTTTTTGATACGGACATGTGTGCCATGGGTTTGATTATGAGCTCCAGTTGTATGACCATGATGCGTCGTAGGGGTCTGTTGACATGTTTCGTTCATGGTGAACATTGGTCTACGATGAGTACTATTGGTAATTTTAGGTGGTTTAATGTCAACCTGTATTTTCTGACTGGAACCTTGATCTTGATTATTATTCACTGCGTAATTAATATTTGTTGTAAGTTCACCCTGTGTATTTTCTCGGGTTTCAGCACCAGGTCCGCCAAAGGACCAGGTATACCCAAATCCTGTCGCCACGTTGCTAGGAGTGGTACACATGTTTGACAGGGGGGTAACAGAGGGGGAGGGATGGTCGGACGCAGTGCTCGTTGGCCCCTCTGTCTCTGTCAATGCATTGTCTGTACCACTTCTTTCTACTACAACAAACTGATCAGTGGGAAATATTTTGAAAGGTTCTAAGTAAACGTACCCGTCACACTCCAGTATCTTGGCCTTGGTTTTCAAGATTGGGAATCATATCTGCCTCGAGCAGCTCTAGCATACAATAATATTTTGGCTGGTGTTACTGTATAACAGGTCTGTATACACCAGTTTGCATGAAATAATGAGCATAAGGTGGTCAACACCCTGTAATGGATATTATCTGTGACATAAGAAAACCGTGTACACGGCGTGTTTCCAAATGTTATTTTGTTAAGCTTAGGAACACACAGTGTTCAGGAGGTAAAGCGAGAGAGTGCTCAAAGAATTGGAGCAGGCGGCAGAGGGGGCCTGTGCGCTGTAAAGCAGGTTCCGTAAATCTACGCTCGTTTTCGTGTTGTTGCCCGCGCCACCGCGCGCCAATGGAATATGTACAGCGGTCGCTTCACTTTTTTATGTATTAAGAGTCCGTGAGTGATTTTTCGTTTCGGTCTCTGGGCCCGCGGCGTCCACGGGTCTTCAACGACAACTTCCACCTTCTTCTCACGGCACTCCCACACGTTCACTTATACTTCACCTTCTTTTCTCGTATTTCGCGGCACCGTACCTATACTTTCACGTATACACACGAACGGCCGATGGTCATTAATTTCACAGAATTGCATATTTTATTGTTCATACAAAATAGCCTCATATATCGGCCATTTTATTTGTAAACTACCAAAAAACAATGCTGCCAATGCACGCGCCGTTTTGGAGGGAGCAAACCTGGCAATATCGTCATCGAGCACTTCCGTACTGGCAACACTGTACCGCCGACGCTATTTCTTCCACCATATTTAAATGAAATGTTCGTAGGTTACGAGTTATTGCTTCTTCTTTCGGAGTAATATTCTTTATTGTTTACCATTCTTTTCAGTATTTCATACGTTTTCATGTATTTAGACCGTATAATGTAATTGATCGCGGTAGATTCAATGTTGTCGAAAAGTGTAGCGATACGTAGGTAAAATTGATGTTCCATTTTAATGTGCGGTAACCTATAATTATAGGTTTCGTAGTAAACAATGATTTCAGGACATAAAGGGTAAATGGACTATCAGGCAAGTGTACAGGGTGTCAACAGAATAAATTACTATATCTACAGTTTCAGCGTATCATCGTATTTTAAATTTTATCATGTGACTTTTTTCCATCGCTTTTTTTTTCAGACATTCATAGTATTATACGTTCATTTCGTATGAAAATATTCATATCCGTAGGAAATCAATACGTCATTAGTTAATCGGATTAAAGGTACTTCTCATGCTAACGTTCACGTGTAGTATAATAAATAATCTACATTTTTTTTTTTTAAATATTTTTTTATCATTCGTTTTCAGGTATGTTATTCTTAATTTTCAATATTTACTGAGTGAATCTGTGTTTAAAAAAGGGAAAGGTTTCTCTTTTTCATGATCGGTTTTTTTCTTGGTCATGTACAAGTGGTTTTGTGTTCAATGGAAGGTCAATATCACGAACATGATACACGTGATACACGTTTCCCGCGGATGCGATCGCTTTCGTCCATTTATAGTCGATATTCGGCGAGTTATGAGACGTGGGGGCATCTAGGTGGCACCGGGACAGAAACACCGCCGTCGCCCGCTCGGTTGGTCATCGTCGGACGCAATAACGCGGACTCAGCAACTGATAAGCAATCCCGCGCGCGTTAATGGCTCGCTCTCACGGCTTGGCAAAAAGCCAATGCGTGCTGCCGGAATGAGAATTCTTACAGTAGGTAGTTACGTCCATTCAGTTTTTGCCATTCCCCGGGCCGACTACGCGTCGGATATCCATGTTGAATTAAAAGGACATATATACAATAATATACATACGTTCAGTGCGCTGAAAAATATCTATCTTCAAAAAAAAATTAATAATAATATCATTTATTATTATTATTCTCTTAAAGAAAATGAACGTTTTACGTAGTCGGAGTGTGTTCTTTGAGATATATTTACGATTTCCCGGTTCCATATACAATTCTCGTATCATCTATCACAACGTGTAAAAAACAATAACGGCAGATTTTGAAAGTACTATCAAGATTTTTTATACCGATGATCCTCACGGATTACACTACCCTGACAAGATGATTAAAAAAGACTTGCGCTTTGGTATAGCGTGACCTCTTTTTGGCACGGTAAAATCCCCGCAGCTTCTTACTCGGCCCTTTCAGAAAAAAACGTTTGCCCACCCCGTGGTTTAAACTGGTAAGCGCCTCGAGCTGTCTGCACGCGCACCTGCCGTGTATATCGCCGAGGCGTTTCTTACCACGCGACGACCGAGGACTTATGCCCTCTTGATAGATAACCCGTCGTTGCGGTGCCAGCGTTCCGTATTATTCTACCGAAATAACATTTCATCGAGATTTATTGTAATTACAGATTGTTTAAAAAGAAAATCCCCATCACTTCCGCATGATTAATAGGCGTTTGGAATAGGAAAATGGTAAAACGGGCGTGTTTTCAATAGCCACATATAACAAGAGACCCCCTTGAAGCACCTCTGTTTCCTGATTAGCATACAGCCGTATTCGTGACTCGGTGTGTATTGGAATACGAAGGACGCGTGACGCGACTGCGATTATGTTCACGGTTCCGATCGCGAGGTGCATTTTTCTTCGAACAAGATGATTCAGGGACTCGTCGGTTAATTTATTCGCACAAGATAAACCTGTCTTTTTCGCATTACATTTACGCATGAAAGGTGTGGACAATTGATTTATTCAGTCGGTAATGTGCTTATCGGCGTCACAGAGGATTATAGCGCCGTAAACCTTTGCCGAAGTTGCGGGTTACAGCCCAACGTATGTGGTCGTAAACGTGAAGATACTCCACGGTTATACGTTCGTCGTGGCTCTCGATATACATACATATACATATATAATTCCCGTAAAGCCTCGCCGATAAATCGTTGCCGATAACCAGAAACATCGATGAACCGTTTCCGTATCAGGAGACACGGATGGGGTGGGGGAATACTCTGAAACCGCGATTTGTAAGACAAATGCGTTGCTCATCTAACCATCTGTTAAGTATGTTTCGCTTGCGCGATACGTTTGAGCTCGACGACGACCGAGGGTTACAGATCGTCAGCGACGCGCGGAGCCTTTAACACGTTGTCTCTCTCTCTCTCCTTTTTATGTGGCGGAGACAGAGCGTAGAAGCAGGGAAGAGAGCCCGAATCCTGAGTCAGTCGACCGTGAATGCGATACCAGGTTTGTCGGTGGTTTCGGTATATGGGGGTGGTGCCCGCGTCAAACAACCGTTCGTCGAACCATCCCTCTATGGTGCGATCCCATCCTCCGTAGATCATTCGTGATTTCGATGAATCAATCGCATCGGTTGCATTCTGTACCACCGGGCTACCTCGGTGGCGGTAAATTTTTAGCCTCTGCCTGGCGACGATGAAAAAGTGTTCGAACACATCTATATTTGGCATGTAAAAATTGACAGGTTTGATTGTCTATTGCTTCTGCACATGTGCAGAATGAGATACTTTTGCATATGCTTTTTGGATACATTTTATATTAACGAAGTTAACAGTCCAGTATATATATAGAAGCCTGTGCAAATAACATTCGGTATGGTAGTTACATTTACAGAATTTATGGCCGACAGTTGTCGCGACGTGGAGCCGCAGGAGGTCGCAATAGTTGTCCGTTACGTAACACAGTACATATGAGACGTAAACATGTCTATATAAACGGGATGCGTAACGGAACCGCCGGCGCTTTGAGAGACCGTAGAGACACGTGTTGTACTATGCATTGTTTAGAAAAAAAAGGTGAGACGCCGGTACCCATCGCTGTTGCTGCTTGTCACAAAAGGAAAGAAGATTACGAGAGGGTTCTTGCTAGGGTCATCGCCTGAAAAATACACCTGACAGAGGATCGGGGTGTAGCTATCCATACACGTACGATTAGGGTGCGTCAAGTTGTATGTCAGTTCCCATTCGAAGACCCACAGAGAGAGAGAGAGAGAGGGAGAAAGAAAGACCTGCCTGTTGAACCGGTATAGTAAGGTAATCACGGTCTCGTGAGTCGCAGAGCAACGGCGGCGCCTTTTTTCCCCTTCTGGGCTTAATTAAAAGATGATTACCTAATGAGGGCCATCGATACTCTACGCCCCGCTAACGAGCTTCCCTGTCGTCAGGAACATCTATATACCGAGCTGTAATTTCGAGATTTCTATCTGACCGTTCCGTATACCCCGTCGCGGCCATTCGGTTCCCTGAAAGAACATATGCGTTTGGTATGCGTGTCCCCCGTGGGTCAGAACCTTCGCAGCAATTAGTTGCCCCGCATTCTCAGCCTGATTCTTCTAATTTTGACAATTACTCAAAGACGAATTCCGATATTATCTATTCGGGTAGTGCCTTCTTTTAATCTATATATATTTTCACGTTGGTATACCGAAAGTTGACGCGAATTGAGGTTAAGAACAATTACGCATTACCAAGAGATACATACGAGTTCTTAGGATGCGGTTGACGAGATGTCGGAAAATCTTACGGTCTGTACAGAATGATATTTTCGAAATCTTTTTTTTTTTGTCTATCGCCCAATCGAATTAAACGAGTGGAAATAAGATTCGAAGTGCAACGTCGACAGTGGTAGGGTGGGTAGGGAGAAAAAAAATGATCCCTGACGAAAGGGCGAAATGTTTTCTCGTCCATATATCGCGGATCGGTTCGTTTCCACGCGATAGATCACGAGTCACGTGCCGCTGCGCGCCGGCTCATCGATCACGATTAGTCCCAGGGACCTGCCAGAAGTTCATCGATTCTCGTGCCACCCTGAAATCCGACTCGTGCAACAATTCATGCGTCCATACGGGGACACACGGTGCATGCAGTGAACGCCAGGGGACGAGGAAAAGTTCAGAAGGAACCTATTACGCAGGTTGTTTCAGATTTTTATTAACACAAGTACAATTGTGCTCGTCTTTAAGCTTCTAACCTTCAAATTTTACGTCACTCCGGTACACTTTTGTCACTATGCAGAAGTCAAGATCGAACAGAGGAACATTCAAAGATGATCGAACGTTACAGGATGACACACACGGTCTTTTGATCTTTAATCCGTGTCTGTTCGATCGTGGATGCATATTTGAACCAGCTGAAAGCCGATGGACCCGCTACCGTTCTCTACACAGTGGCGAACTGTATCCTGAACCACACGGGACTCTTTGTTCCCCCTTCGTATAAAACTCTACCGTGGTCCCCGGGGTACATTGACGATCCTTTCGACGCTCACTTTGG